CGGGTGGGGTGTGTGTGTGTGATCAGCTGTGGCGTGCATGGGAAGCTTTTTAAAAACTTTAAAAGCATTTTTTACTACCGGCTCAGGCGAATAGGTAGTAAAAAAATACTTTAAAAAAGTAAAGGCTCTGGCGATCGCATGGCACAGCTGTGATCGTCGGAGCCTCTTTTTTTTTTTTTTACTTTTTTAAAAACATTTTTTACTACCTATTCGCCGGAGCCAGTAGTAAAAAAAATGCTAAAAAAGTGTAAAAAAAAAATGTTCCCACGATCGTACGTCGCTCAGCTAATAGTCGGAAATTTTTTTTTTTTTTTTTACTACCGGATCGGCGAACCAGTAGGAATTTTTATGACCTGTTCGGGCGAACTGGCCTAAACAGGTAGCATTTCACCCCTGGTCCAGTTATTTAGCTGTCTGTTTTCCTCCACCTTCCCCAGGTGGCTGCCTACTTGCCTTGAAAGAAGCTGAAGAAGCAGTGGTGTCAGAGGAGGGCCAATCGGCTGACCATTTGGCCGCAACGGTAATTTCGGAAGACCCCCCAACAGTCCTGGTGGAGTTTTCTTCAGTGGTGGCAGATACGCAGGAATACATAATTGAGGTAAAAACGTCTCACCGGGGAAGGCAGAGCCCTTTGAAAGCAATTAATACCCCAGCACTGGAGGCTAATGTGGGCCAAGAACTATGGAGACCCATCATGCATGCTCCTGGAGAGACCAGGAAGTGCATAAGGGTTGTGGACTGTGGCTGCAGAGGAGCCCTGAGGTGTCTTTGGGTGGCTAAATTGTTGCTGTGCATTCTTTCTTAAAGACAGCTGCTGAAGACCTGGAAACCAGCGAAGCTGCCGAGATCATCGAAGGAACCAGGCACGAGGTGGGTTGCTCTAAGGAGGCTTTCTAACGATCGCAGCGATGACTGTTTTCAGCGCTGCAAGGAGCGAATCCTTCCCCCAAGTGCTAAATCTCCAAGTAACGGGACCTGCGTAGGCAAGCACAGCTTGTAATGGATTTGGCCCTGCCAACTCCAGTGAGGTAATCTCTATCTTAGCTTCTTCATCCACCAGCTCACAGTGGGTCTAGGACAGTGATGGCTAACCTTTTTGCCATCACGTGCCAGGAAGGGGGGGGTGCAGGGGAGGTTTGTGCGCATGAGTGCCTACACCCATAATTCTAGGTGCCCCGTGCATACGCACGCAACCCCTCCCCGCTCCTGGCATGTGATGGCCCAGTAGGCCTGTTTTTCTTTCTCACCTGGCTCCAGATCCTCTCTATGCATCTGGGAATTGGAAAACAGGCTGTTTCAGGCCTCCGAAGGGGTGGGGAAGGCTGTTTTCGCCCTCCCCAGATGCATAGAGAGGATCTGGAGCCAGGTGAGAAAGAAAAACGGGCCTTCCGCACCCCCCACCCAGGCCCTCCGGTGGCAGGAAACAGCCTGTTTCCCTACTTCTGGTGGGCCCAGAAGGCCCGAAAATGCACACGCCAGAGCTGAGCTGGCGTGCCAAGCCACATGGCTCTGCGTGCCACAGGGGGCACGCGTGCCATAGGTTCACCATCATGGGTCTAGGACATCTGCCGCCAGCCACTTTCCTTCAGGGAAATTCCTTTCTGCCCCTAGTTTATTTCAGGAGCCGGCTGAAGCTGGTTGGCCAGTAAATTTTAAAAATTAATAATAATACCTGGAGAGAAAGACGCACATTAAAAGGCTGATCCCAGGATGTTTGCTTTTTTGTTAAGAATTCAAGTCTTAATAAACGTAATAATTTGGGATGAAAAATTAGAAGAGAATCGAGGGGGAAGGGAAAAGGTGAGCGGTTGTTCCTGAAGTGGCTAATATCATCACTCATCCCATCCCCCAGTCCTGGATCTCACACAACGCAGACACACAACGAAGTTTCAAGATTGAAATTTTTGATCCCAAAATTGGATATCCTTCCTTATTTGGCCTGGCTTTCAGAAATGGAATTGCATCTCATTCACTACATTTCAGATTTTGTGGAGCATCTTGGAAAATGAACAACATTAGAGAATAGGAAATTATTTTTGCTCGGAAATCTCTGGTTTCTCCTTTAGTGTGAGGCAAACCTAATAAACCAGATTGTGAGTCTCTAGTTCAGAATTGGCCTGACAGAAATAACGAAACCTTTGTTGATTAGCTACATTTCAGTTGAATATGCTGCTGGGACTGAGGTGGGGCCCCTTTTCTATTTTTGGGGTTGAACACGAGGGGCTTTTGATTGAGCAGTACTGATACCCTGGGAATCAGAAATGTACTGCAAGGAATTCAGCCTTAGAGCCAAAGCTTGTGCATGGACCAGGTTTCCTCCACGGGGAGGATGTTAAACTGCACTAAGTAGCAAGATGCAACTCTGCTCCGAAGTGCTGAATTCTGATTCATTGGGATAAACATCACGTCACGCCTGGACTACTGCAACGCTCTCTACATGGGGCTCCCCTTGAGGAGCACCCAGAGGCTCCAGCTGGTGCAGAATGCGGCCGCGCGGGTGATTCTGGGAGCGACGTGGCGCTCCCACGTAACACCTCTCCTGCGCGAGCTGCATTGGTTTCCGGTGGTCTTCCGGGTGCACTTTAAGGTGTTGGTTCTCATCTTTAAAGCGCTCCATGGCTTAGGGCCAGGATATTTGCGAGACCGCCTGCTGCTACCGATAACCTCCCACCGGCCAATACGCTCTCACAGAGAGGGCCTCTTCAGGGTGCCGTCGGTCAGGCAATGTCGGCTGGCGGCCCCCAGGGGGAGAGCCTTCTCTGTGGGGGCACCCGCCCTGTGGAACGAGCTGCCTCCTGGAATACGATTGATCCCGGACCTCCGGACCTTCCGTAACGCCCTGAAGATGTTTTTATTCCACCAAGCCGGCCTAGCCTAAATGGTTTTTAATTGGGATTTTAAATTTTATGGATTTGGGGGTTTTAAATTGGGAAGCTAATGATTTAATTCTTTTTTAATTATCTTAACTTTTGTATTCGTATGTTTTTTAATTTTGGCTGTTCACCGCCCTGAGTTCCCTCTGGGAGAAGGGCGGTATACAAATTAAATTAATAAATAATAAATTAATAAATAAATGAAAACAAACGTATCTTGCAGATAACTAACAATCTGAACTGGTCTCTCCACACGTCATCCTTAGTGAAGCATGCAAACCAGCATCTGCATTTCCTGCATCAGATGAGGAAAGGACATCTTTCTCCTTCTGTCCTGGCCCCTTTTTACAGAGGCACAATTGAAAGCATTTTAACATGCTGCATCACACTTTGGTTTGATGGCAGCAGTGGCTCAGATAGAAAGTCCATACAGAGAGCAGTGAGGACAGTGGAGATGATTATAGAAAGCTTGCTTCCCATTATTCAGGATACTGCTTATAAGTGCTATGTGCATAGAGCTCAAAGCATTGTTAATCACCCCACACACCCACTTTAGGGTCTGTTTCTGTTGTTCCCCTCTGGGAGGAGGTTTCGAAGTATTTCTAGTAGGACTACCAGATTCTGGAACAGCTTTGTTCCCTATGCCATACATCTGGTACACATGCAAGATTTGTTTTTCTCGCCATGTACAGGCATACATCCGGACTAGACTGTTGTTTCTCTGGGTCATATAATATATGTGGATATATGCATAATTTTGTATTTATTTATTCTGTCATGTTCATGTAGTGTATATTGGAGGTGGAGACCCTTTGAGAGCTATATGCAACAAAATTTCATTTTAATGCATGCCAATTAATGTACATTCAAAGTGACAAAGTTATTCTAAATTCTTTTTTCCCCTCTGCAGGTGGACAGTCATATAATGAAGGTGGTTCAGCAGATCGTAAACCAAGCCAATTCTGGCCATCAGATAATTGTCCAGAATGTCACGGTGGCAGACGATTCAACCATGACGGCAGAGGGCGTGGATCCCGACACGATTGCCATAGCAACTCCAGAGAGCCTGACGGAGCAGGTCGCCATGACCCTGGCTTCAGCAATTGGGGAAGGGGCTGTGCTGACCACGGAGGGCGGTGGGGAGGTGGAGGAAGCCACCGTGACCATGGTGGCATCCGAAGACATTGAAATAATGGAGCACACGGGGGAGTTTGTGATCGCAGCCCACGAGGAAGACGATGACCTAGAAGTCCAGACTGTGATTGTGTAGGGCGCTGGGAGAGGGGAGGGGGGGCTTTTCAAAATGGCAGCGTGGCTGCACCCAGGCCCCAGATAACGTGAAGTTGCCCTAAGAGCCGGTTCGGGTGCTGCTTCTCATGGCATGTTAACTGAGCTCTTGGCCACCTGTTCTGGTCAGGGACCTGACCCTTCTGGACATGGCAGCCTGTTGAAGCCAGGCAGTTGTCGAGTAAAGCACTTTAGAGGAAAAAAAAGTATTGTGTGCAGGGATACTTAATGATGTGGCGGTGAGAGGTTCCAGGTATGGGAGGAAACGTGGCTTGCTTTTCATAGGAAATGTGGGTTTTATCACTTTAGAAAACCAGTGGCTTTAATTTGCATTGCCAGAATACTCAGAAAAGCCCACACTGGACTTTTTTTGCAACCATGTAGCTTTTAATTATCTATTGTCTGATTTAACTTGTAAATATTTTTTTAAACGAATGATTTTTTTACATTACTGTATTATGATGTAATTAAAGGAGAGTGCTGAAGGCTTCAAACGTATTGGTGGTTATTTCTCTCACAGGAATGTCTGTCAGTGTAAGTCAGCAAGAATTGTGCAAGAGGGCAGCTTAGAGGCCTCAAACAGAAATTTAGCCCTCATCATTTAAGGATGGGAGGAACCCAACCATATGCAGGAATCTCCAAACTTGGCGACTTTAAGACATGCTGGCTGAGGAATTCTGGAAGTTGAAGTCCACAAGTCTTAAAGTTGCTAAGTTTGGAGACCCGTCTTACAAGTTTCAAATACCCACATAATGCAGTTCAGAGCTTTGCATAGTTCCAGATACCTGCAGAACTGGCTCTGGAGTGAGATTTCCCGGTAATTTGCAGCAAGAAATGAAATCGATGTAGGCCTCCATTCATTTTACATCACCAAAAATACGTAGTAATAATTATAACAATACAGATAAGCAGCTGCCACATAACACTCCAAGACTTAACAACTGTCCATAAAAAGACAAGTCTGCATAGTGGACATGGCAGTATTTGGAGACAGCGGACCAGAAGACAAAGAACTGGAGAAAATCATAAAATACAAAGACACGCAAATTAAAAAACAGAACAGCTGTGGCAAAGGAGAACAAAGATAGTCCCAATAGTAATTGGCACCTTGGGTGCAATCCCAAAACCTCTGAAGCAACACTTGGAACATGATTGACAAAAGTCCCATCAAGTCAATTGCAAAAGGCAGCTTGGCTCAGAACAGCTTAAATCCTGCAATGAGACCTTTTAACACCATCAAACAACATCTGCTTTTCCCAGGTCCTTGGGAAGTACTCGATAGGTGGATAAAAATGCCAAATCATGTTTAAACATCTGCCTAACTGCAACCAACTACTCTCACCACCACAATAACAATGCATCCCCCCCCCCCCCCCGAGCTTTTTAGCAGGCAAACTAAAAGTGCAAACAATAGCACTCGGTGCTCACATTAACTATCTGATCTGTTAACTCATTTTCCGCTTCTGAATAGTCCTTTAGTTAGAATAAAAATTCATTCTACAGAAGATAAGTTTGTATGGTGCAAACTGTTTTTGCCAGCTCCACGTGTGCAAGGATTCACTTCCTTTTCTTTGCAGGAGTTGTCAGAGGTGTCACAATTTCTGCCAGATTGGCCCACACGCCTTTGGAGTAGATGTTTCTATAGCCTTCCTGCCTGCTGTATGGCTCCGAGCATGAGGGCGTATATCTTGCTGATTTCAACCATTCGTTGGTTGTCTGGTTGGTCAGTACAAGGTACAGGATGAAGCAGAAATAGGAGCCCAGAATGACCAACAGAAGGATGACGAAGCCCAGCATGAATACAATTCTAGGAAAGGTCAGGAAAAGTTGCTGTGAAGAGAAGGGGAAAGGGGTTAAAATCCAGGTGCTCAGGATCTCCAGGTCCCCTCCTATCCTGTAATTCTGGCAATACCACTTGCAAAATCAGAGTTGGAAGAGACCTCAGAGGTCATGTAGCCTAGCTTTCTGCTGAAGCAGTTTGGTGATATGGCTATCTCCTGTGAAGAAACGCCACACAATTACTGGTTCTACTGGTGGAGAGCTCTTACGACAGAACTGCCCTCAAGATTGTATTGACGGTGATTAAAAAGTAAGCAAAACCATTTACGACTAATTCCCACAACACTGTCAAACTACTAAGACTGTATTACTATTATTTTTCTCATCCTTCCTATTACCTGTCTCCTTTTCTACTTATGACTATAACCGTGTGCTTGAATCTTTACAATTTATATAGTTTTATTTAGCCTCCTAGTATGATTTTGATTGATACCACCAGTACGCTGATGACACCCAGCTGTACATCTCCACCCCAGGCCACCCCAACGATGCCCTTGAAGTGATGTCCCAGTGCCTGGAGGCTGTGCGGATCTGGATGGGGAGGAACAGGCTCAGGCTCAACCCTTCCAAGACTGAGTGGCTGTGGTTCCCGGCATCCCGATATAGTCAGTTGACTCCATCACTGACTATTGGGGGTGAGTCTTTGGCCCCCACAGAGAGGGCTCGCAATCTGGGAGTCCTCCTGGATAGGCAGCTGTCCTTGGAGGAACATCTGACGGCTGTAACCAGGGGGACCTTTTGTCAGGTTCGCCTGATTCGCCAGTTGCGGCCCTTTCTTGATCGGGATTCCTTGTGCACAGTCACTCACGCCCTCGTCACCTCTCGCCTTGACTACTGCAATGCTCTCTACATGGGGCTCCCCTTGAGGAGCACCCGGGGGCTCCAACTGGTCCAGAACGCAGCAGCGCGGGTAGTGACGGGAGCAGCATGGCGCTCCCATGTAACACCGCTCCTGCGCGAGCTGCACTGGCTCCCAGTGGTCTTCCGGGTGCGCTTCAAGGTGTTGGTTATCACCTTTAAAGCGCTCCATGGCATAGGGCCTAGCTATCTTCGAGACCGCCTGCTGCCACCGACGACCTCCCATCGACCCGTGCGCTCCCACAGAGAGGGCCTCCTCGGGGTGCCATCAGCCAAACAGTGCAGGCTGGTGACCCCCAGGGGGAGGGCCTTCTCTGTGGGGGCGCCTACCCTCTGGAATCAATTGCCTCCAGAGATAAGGAGAATCCAAGACCTCAGTGCCTTCCGCCGTGCCCTTAGAACCTTCCTTTTCCAGCAAGCCGGGCTGGCCTAATTTTTTAAGTGTTTTTAAGTGTTTTGTTTATTGTTTTTAATTAATGGGGCCAAATTTATATATATATAATTTAACTGTATTTTATATTTGTACTTGATGTTTTTACTTGGCTGTTCACCGCCCTGAGTCCCCCATGTGGAAAATGCACAAGTCAGCAGTTAGTCAATATTTACCTGAATCAGGAAGAAGGTATCAACTGGATGCTCTTGACCTTGGTCATCAGTATAATGTCCCCATGTAAGATTTGACAAAAGAACCACCTGGATGAGAAAGCCGGCCGTTACAGCTGCAATAGAAGCAGCCATGGAGGTCAAAGTCAGCAGGTAGCAAAGGAAGAACCGGATGTTGAAGGCTCCAATGCAGTTGTTGACCCAAACACAGTGGTGATCAAAACGATGTATGCAGCCACGGCACACGCCTGAGCAGAAAACGGAGGAGGGTCAAAATGTTAAGAAATCACAACGAAGTTGAAAGTCAAACAAGGCAGCATTTCGATCTATGGCAGGAGTGTCAAACTCAAGGCCCGCAGGCTGGATCCACCCTGCAGGATGCTTAGATCTGGCCTACGGGGCCACCCTGGAAGCAGTGAGGGACCGGCCTGTGGTGCCTCTAAAAACGGAGTTCAGGAGGGCTGCGCGTGGCCCTCCCGAGCTCCGTTTTCACTGGCAGAGGGCTGCAGGAGGCCGTCAACAGGCGGAAACGGAGCTTGGGAGCCCGTTTTAGCTGGCAGAGCTCTTGGCCCACCACAGATGCCCCCGACACGAGTGACGTTGAGCTAGCCATGCCCCCCCTGACCCGCCCCCCCCGAGGTCAAACACCACCCTGAGGCGGCCCTCAATGAAATTGAGTTTGACACCCCTGATCTATGGGCAATAGTGAAGAAGGTTTGCATTGGTCAACGAGGAAAAACTTGGCATATCAAACTGCATTGATTTTTCATAACTGCAAAGATTTAATCGGCTCTCCTCTTTTCTGAATATGTTTTCCCAGTTTTATAAGAAAAGAGATTTAATAGCGAGTTAAAGAATACTTTGCAGTGGAAATGAATTAATTACTGTAAATACTATAGTAAATACCCTCACTTAAAACCTGTCCGTTTAGTGACTGTTACAACAGCACTGAAAGAAAGGGACTTATGTCCATTTTGCACACCACCGTTGCAACATCCTTATGGTCACGTGATCAAAATTCAGGCGCTTGGCAACCGGCTCATATTTACGATGGTTGCAGTGCCCCAAGGTCATGTGATCCTCTTTTGTGACCTTCTGACAAGCAACGTCCACGGGGAAGCCAGATTTACTTAACAACCGTGTTATTAACTTAACTGAACTGATTCTCTTAACAACTGCAGCAAGAAAAGTAGAATGGGGCAAAACTCACTTAACTTTCTCACTTAGCAACAGAAATTTGGGGCTCAATTGTGGTCGTAAGTCGAGGACTACCTGGACTACACTTCTTTCCATACAATCCCATTCTACATTAAAGCCAGTAATACAAAGTTCATTTGGCAGCACAGATTTAAAACCTGATTTAGAGGATCTGCACAGATGCAAAAGGGTAACAAGTCAGAATATATGAGCTGTGGGGTGACGCTTTCCTGAAGAAGGTTTCTGATCCTTCAAGTTAGCCCCTCCATCCCCTCCCCTCCCCTCTCCTCCCACTGGACTTTTGGGCAGGGTCCATTCCAGGTGGTCTTTTCTGGGCAAAAGTTCCTGATGTCTATCAAGCTGTTGTTAAAACAAAAACAAAAACAACAAAAAAAAAGAATCTGACAAAATGTTGACCCAGCCTCCCAGGTAGCAGAGGAAGCAATGGCTGTAGGGCACATTTTCTATGGGAAAGGATGCTCTCGCGAGACAGAGTTCCTTTGCTTTGGAGACAAGGCAGCTTCCCCACTAATCTCACGCTAAATCAGGGGTGTCAAACTCAAGGCCCGGGGGCCTGGTGCTTAAATCTGGCCTGCAGGGCCGGCCTGGAACTAGCAAAGGACCAGGCTGCAGTGCCTCTGCCGGCCAAAATGGTCCGCCGGGGAGGTGGGCGTTTGCGGACCCCGTGCAGCCCATTTTCGGCCTCCACGGCCTCCAGCAGCACTCTGCCAGCCAAAAAGGTTTTTGGTCGGCAGAGTGCTTCTGGAGGCCGGGGAGTACGGTGGAAAGAAAGAAGGGAAAAAGCACATCTTGAGCCTGTGTCAAACACCCACCCTGTCCACGCCCACCATGACTACGGCCACCCCCCAGCCCCAGCCCTCCGAGGTCAAACATAACCCTGATATGGCCCCCAATGAAATAAAGAGGTTGACACCCTTGCTCTAAATTATGGCAGGGCCCAGATCAGAAGCTCTGAAGCAGATCGTAATGCATAAACTGGCTTGCCAGGGAGAAATGCTAAACCGAGACTCTTACCGCAGTGCCTGGATCTGGCTGGTTTTCTCACTGCGCAGGTAGGGCATTCAGCATCTTGTTGAAACATCAGACCGTCGTATGCGTATGCATGAAGGAAGAGAAGCTGGTTGGATTTGGTGATGATGCCTTGTGGGGAAAAAGCAAAGATTCTTACTAGCAGGATGACGAGGGCTGCAATGTCTCTGCTGTTGAGAGATTTCCTTCCCGTCTCATGCCTGAAGTACCATCAAGTTATTCAAGTTAATCTGGAGAGTTCAGATTAGAGATACCCTAGAGCAGTGATGGCTAACCATTCCAAAAGCAGGGGGAGCACAAGGTGGTGTTGTGCACGTGCCCCTACACCCATAATTCAATGCCCCCTCGCACATGTGCATGCGCACCCCCTGCTTTTGGCACACAACGGCAAAAAGGTTACCGGTGGGCCCAGTAGGACCATTTTTCGCCCTCCCCAGGCTCCAGAGGCTTTCTTGGAGCCTGGGGAGGGCAAAAACAGCCTCTCCCTCCCCCTTCCGGAGGTCGGAAATGACCATTTCCCAACTTCCAGTGGGCCTGGAAGGCCTGAATATCAGCTGGCCAGTGCATGCATGCACGCTGGAGCTGAACTAGGGCAACACTCGCGTGCCCACAGATATGGCTCCGCATGTCACCTGTGTCACGCATGCCATAGGTTCGCCATCACGGCCCTAGAGATAAAAATCCACTGTTTTCCTCTGAAGCAAATTTTTCCTGCTCTGTACTATAAGAAATGTCTGTGGGCTGCTCCTCACATCCCTTAAGTGTAGCAGAGATATGGCCAATGAACTGCTTTTATGCATCATGCCTCCATCTGATTCACTTAACAACTGTAGCAAGAAAGGTCATAAAATGGAGCAAAATTCATTTAACAAATGTCTTAGCAACAGAAATCCTGGGCTGAATTGTGGTCGTAGGTCAAGAGCTACCTGTATAGCAGCAATCGGGCCACTTAAAGACATACATGGGGTAAGACTCCAAGCGGTATTCAACCCTTAAGGTTAAGGTTCTACTGGTGTGGAAAGAGAACAAGCTTTCCCCCAAACCATTGCTTGCTCAGTGCACAGCCAGCCAGCAGGCAGTGGGGCATCATCCACCGCCCAGGAGAGTGCCAGTATCCAAGAGCTGAGATTGCAAGGAAAAGGGCCTCACCTGGGTTACTTCTGGAGCAGAGGATGAAGAAAGCTGCATTCACAGCCAACAGGACGTAAGGGAGGAGGAGGAGGAGCCTGCTGAACTGCAGCTCTTGGCAGTAGCTGAACACCTCCCAGGTATACTCGCCATAAACCAGCCCTTCCAAAATCAAGTGCAGGACCACAAAGAATGAATTTCTGCAGCAAGGAGAGAATGAGATGCATTTCTTCTCCCCACTTTTAAGGGAAAGGGAACTGCTTCTGACCTGAGATTGCCCATCGGGCCTCAAAACTTGTTCTATGGTTTACAATCCTAACTCGGAATTCAATACAGACAGCTTAGGTCAGTGTTTCCCAATGTAGCCATTTTAAGATGTCTGGACTTCAACTCCCAAAATACCCCAGCCAGCAAGGCCTTAGGTGAATTCACCTCCCCTGGCAGCTGCATTTGCACAGCAAGGCCAAGGCAGGTTCCGCTTTTTGTAGATTTAGAGTGGCGTATTTATTAATTTCTTTGGCTTGTATCCTTTCCAAAGACCATCCCCTTAAAAGCATCCAAATGTAGGAACTTCTGCTGAGACTGGGTGTCCCAAAGAATTAGAAGGTGAGCTAGGACCACAGAACGACTGCCATTTTGCTGTAGGCTAAGAAGCTTGGTGGAGAAGGGCCTCTCTTGTTCCATAGCTGCTCTGGGTGCTACAAACAGGAGGCTGGGAGGGTCTAGGAGCTCCTGAGGGGATGCTGAATGAAGCCTGTACGTGCCAGGCTTCTTGCTAATGCAGAAGCAATTTCTTTTCAACAACTCAAAGATCCCGAAGAAAACGTCCAACAGACCTCATCCCAAACAAAATGTAAAGATCAACATGATACCACAAAATTGTAGGCAACATAAAACTAGGAGGTGAGTATGTAGAAGGAACGATGCATGTTTGAACAACACGGGAAGTTATTTTACCAAGCTAGGATGTTCCAAGGGCCCATTAATGCCAATATTCACAAACGCCAGAGAATGGAGCCAATAAAGAAACAGACGGCAATACCGGGAATGGAAGAGTCCATGAATGGCCTTCTGAGCTGCTCTATGAACTGGAGCTGGAATTACATAGGAGAACACCTGCATCAAAGGAGAAAAAGGCAACAAAATTATTTTTAAAAAGGAAAGGTGGGGAGCACAGATAAACTCACTCACAAAACCTGCAAGGTCATTGCTCCAGGAACTGAAGGCGGGAGCCTCTAGCAAACTGCCAAATGTCAGCCTCGATGCTAACCTTCAGGTTGTTAGTTGTCAATCAGCAATTAGAGGCCCTAAGATGGAAAGGGTCATTGCTGAATCAACCTTCCACATCTTTAGAAAAGGAAGGACAACAGGGAACCATGATCTTATCAACAAGGAGAGACTGCCACTACCCCACAGTTCTTCCACGATAGTTTGTTTAAATTAGGATCCGATGTCAAATGATGTCATTTACTGAAACAGCATCTCCCAAGAGACCCATAGAGTTCCCATCCTAATAATATTCTTGACATTTAGACAGCACTGGTCATTCTTGTTGGTAATTTCTGGCAGTGCTTGGATAGGTAAAGGGTAGCCAACCTGATTCAACTTGATCTAGCAGCAATTTTCAGTATCATCAGCTTTTGGATTATCTGCAAGGGTTGAGAATGGGGTTCATGGGGTTTTCCCTTTTCTGTGGATAGATCTAGCTGGAGATGATAGGTGGGAGAAGAAACCAAGAGACTCCTCTTATGTTGGGTACCACAAGGCTCAAAGCTCTCATCCCTCGTTCAACATCCACGAGGCCACTGGGTGAGGCCATTGATTTGTGAGATGCATGATACTCAGATGTGCATTTTAGCCACAGGTTGGCCAGGTGATGCTATCAAGATATTGTCCCAGTGTTTGAAGGCTGAATTAGTCTATATGGGGAGAAACAGCCTTAGAAAACAAGTCCTCTCTCTCTATTCTTTAAAATACTGTCCCTCCTGAGATTTGCAGGGACCTCCTCCTGCCCCTTTTCAAACAAGCCTTTGAGACTTGGCTGTATCCCCAGGCCTTGGGTTAGAGCCAGTGACGGATCCATTGTATGGTATTGTTTTAAAATGGTTTCTCCCCTGGCTTTGTGATTTCATTTGTGATTTCATACCGTAGTATTTATTGTTGTACTTTGTAAGCTGTCCAAAGTTGAAACAGATTGGAGCAGCCTGTAAATTTCATAAATCAGTAAGTTCATTTCAGGAAATGACATACAAAGAAGCATTTCCATCTTCTTCCACAAAAGGGGCTGATGTCCAAGCTAAAAGAAATGATTCTGGGAACTTTGCTTTTACACCTTACTAGAGCAGGGGCTGCAAATGAAGGATGGGATGGAGGTTGACCTACAAAATGCTGGGAGGAGGAGCAGCTATAACACTGGGCCTTCCTTTCTTTCTCCCCCAAGGGAAAATTAACCATCCAAAGGCAAGTATGATGGGTGGTGTAGAAATTTGATAAATAAAAATAAGTGACTGGACTGGGGTCCAAGCTAGATGCGTGGAGATCGGTACTGGGGGGAGGGGGGAGCAGAAACTGGCACACAGCTGGATGCTCCTTACTTGAGTTGTGCCCCTGATGAGCCTCCAAGAGAAGCTTTGCTCCCGTCGGGAGGAGACACAGACCGCCACACTGAGCAGCACCAGGCCGAGATACAGGCCAAAGAGGATCACGAAGTCCATCTTGCCCTGCAAAATTCATACACGCCTTAGCAGGTTGTGGCCCACAGCCTGACTTTGGGCCCAAGGCAACCCACGGGCATGGCTTCCACATCTGCGTCCCTGGGGAGTAGGTCATCAGGGCTCTGTCTGGGCACACCCACAGAGGGGGGGTGGGAGCAGCAGGCTCGGTCCTCCCCGCCTGCAGTTTGCACGGTGGGAATGGGCAGTAGGGTGGGCAGGGGTCTAGGGGAGTGGTGGGTTTCAAATTTTTTTACTACCGGTTCTGTGGGTGTGGCTTGGTGGGCGTGGCAGGGAAAGGATACTGTAAAATCTCCATTCCCTCCCCACTCCAGGGGAAGGATACTGCAAAATCCCCATTTCCTCCCGATCAGCTGGGACTTGGGAAGCAGAGAATAGATGGGGGCGGGGCCAGTCAGAGGTGGCATTTGCCGGTTCTCTGAACTACTCAAAATTTCCGCTACCGGTTCTCCAGAACTGGTCAGAACTTGCCGACACCCACCTCTAGTCTAGGGGAATAGTTAGTCCTCAATATAGGACCACAATCGAGGCCAAAACTTCAGTTGCTAAATGAGACACTGAAGTAACATTTTGTCCCATTTTACGACATTTCTTCCCAGTCGTTAAATGAATCACTGCAGTTGTTAAGTAAAGTCACACGATCTGTTAGGTGAATCTGGCTTTCCCCTTGACTTTGCTTGTCACAAGGCCGCAAAATGGGAGATCACGTGACACCCCCCTACAACCCACCCACCCACCCCCGCCTGGGACACGGCAACCGTCGTAAATAGGAGCCGGTTGCCAAGCGGCTGAATTTTTGTTCACGTGACCCGTTACAGGGGATGCTGCAATGGTCTCTTAAGTGTGAAAAACGGTCATAAGTCACTCTTTCCAGCGCCGTTGTGATTTCGAACGGTCACTAAACGAACTGTTGTAAATCGAGGAGTGCTTGTATCTGCGCTCCCCAAACCCCGCCGTTCCTGCCAGTTATATCTAAGGGAGTCAGGAGGCGGCCGGCCTCGCATCGGGCCAGGCCGCTTCCTCCCCGGAGGCCCCCAGAAGGGCCCCGCAGACCGTCTGCGGCTGCTCGCCGGGACCGGAGATACGTCCGCCGCCCGCTCTTATGGCGGCAACTACGGCGAGGCCCCGCCCCTTATTTCGAGGCCCCTTCCCTGCAAGGCCCCGGGAGGCAGAAGAGCCTCCAGGAGGAGACCAGGCGCCCCCCTCCCCGCCGCGTCGCTTAGCAACGGGCCCGCTACCGGCAATTTCGCTGATCCCCAGAACGGGCGCCGCCATGACAGTCCGAGGGGCGGGGCAAGCGGTTATCCAATCTGCGAGCGCCAGAGCCCGTCCACCCTCGTGACGTCACGCAGGCGCGCGCGAGAGTGGGAGAGAGAAGGCAGGATGGGAATTGTAGGCGTTTCCCCCGAAGCCTCCCGGACCGGTGTCTTGCCTGAGTCTGAATCGGGAAGGGCGATGGGAATTAGAGGAGCCGGTGGAATGGTCGCTTTCCTTTCGCCCTCGGTCTGCGCTGTGCTTCCGCGGCCGTAGCACCAGAGGAAGGAGAGTCTCCGGGAGACCGCAGCATCATAAACACACAATGTTTAAGTCAGGGGTCTCCAACCTGGGCAACTTTAAGCCTGGAGGATTTCAACTCCCAGAATTCCCTAGCCAGCCAGAATTCTGGGAGTTGAAGTCTTCCAGGCTTAAAGTTGCCCAGGTTGGAGACCCCTGACTTAAGTAACAACAATAGAATAGAATAGAATAGAATAGAATAGAATAGAATAGAAAATAGAAAATAGAAAATAGAAAATAGAAAATAGAGAAAGAATAGAATATAGAAAATATAGAATAGAATATAGAAAGAATAGAATAGAATAGAATAGAAGAATAGAATAGAACAGAACAGAACAGAACAGAACAGAACAGAACAGAACAGAACAACAGAACAGAATAGAATTCTTTATTGGCCAAGTGTGATTGGATACACAAGGAATTTGTCTTGGTGCATATGCTCTCAGTGAACATAAAAGAAAAGATACTTCATCAAGAATTATAAGGTACAACACTTAATGACAGTCATAGGGTACAAATAAGCAATCAGGAAACAATATCAATATGGATCCAGGCAACAAAGTTACAGTCATACAGTCATAAGTGGGAGGAGATGGGTGGTGGGAACGATGAGAAGATTCATAGTAATGCAGACTTATTGAATAGTTTGACAGTGTTGAGGGAATTATTTGTTTAGCAGAATGATGGCGTTTGGGAAAAAACTGTTCTTGTGTTTAGTTGTTCTGGTGTGCAGTGCTCTCTAGCGTCGTTTTGAGGGTAGGAGTTGAAACAGTTTATGTCCAGGATGCGAAGGGTCTGTAAATATTTTCACAGCCCTCTTTTTGACTCGTGCAGTATACAGGTCCTCCATGGAAGGCAGGTTGGTAGCCATTGTTTTTTCTGCCATTCTAATTATCCTCTGAAGTCTATGTCTGTCTTGTTGGGTTGCGGAGCCAAACCCGACAGTTATGGGAGTTCAGATGACAGACTCAATAATTCCTCTGTAGAACTGTATCAGCAGCTCCTTGGGCAGTTTGAGCTTTTTGAGTTGGCACAGAAAGAATATTCTTTGTTATGCTTTATTGATAACGTTTTTGATGTTGGGTGTCCATTTTAGATCTTGCAATATGGTAGAACCTAGAAATTTGAAGGTCTCTACTGTTGATAAGTGTGAAAAATAGTCATGAGTCACTTTTTTCAGTGCCGTTGTAACTTTGAACAAACACTAACTGTTGTAAGTCAGGTACTTACCTGTATTTGATTTTAAGCCATGTCTACTGGATGGGAGAACATGAGGTCTTACAGTAACGGAGGACATATCCTCTTTTGCCAGATGTCTGGTAACTCTACTTGTGCTTGGCTGCGACTGAGCTGGGCCGATGGGATGGTTAGCTCCTCCTCTGCCCTTCAGCCCTGCAGATGCTTTGGCTGTGCTTTGACTCGCAGGTGGCTCCATGGCTCGCTCACTTTGGAAGCTTCTGGCCATCACAATTGTGTGCCACTACAATTCCCATAAACTGTTTATAAGGCATAGCCCATAGTGAGTGTTCAAGGGAGCAGCCCCTCCATCTCTCTCAGCTGCTGAACCTCTCAAGCCCTCCGCTCTGCTGACTGTCCAGCCCAGGCCATGCCTGCTTCTCCCTGGCTAGGCTGGGCTGGGCTGCAAAGGATGGCCCTATTAGGTTACTGCCCTGGAGAGCATTTGTCATGGAAACTCAGCCGCTTGCCCCATGGGTCTGTAACTGATCCAGGAGCGCCGAAGCTCTGCCGGAGTGCTCCTTCCCAGCTGCCGGTGCTGTTGGGCCTTGCAGGAAACAAGTAAGCTTTCAAAGGGGGAGGGGGAGGGAAGAGAGAAGTGCTTGGCAGACCTCGTCTTCCAAAATTGGACTTTTCCACCTTAAGTCTCCTTGAAGTCTTCCAGCTGTATCATTTTCTTGGCAACTGGACATTGGCTTCTTGCAACTTCCTGCCTAGCTTGTCCACCTAGCCAGCCTTGATCCAGCTTGGTTGCTGAGCCTAGCCAGGTACTGCCACCTCCTGAGGTCCTGGCACTCGGCACTACAGGTTATCCTTATTTAGCGACCACAACTGTGACCGGCCACCTTGTCGTTAAGTGAAGTGGTCACTGAGCAAAACCATGTTAGTTTGCTTGACAGACCTGTGAGGGTCATAAATGGGAGTCATAAAAGTTACTTTTTCATCACCCTCATAATGGTGACCGGTCACTAAATGAGGACAACTGGGTGTACATTGTTGAGTTATCCACCTGGCAATGCGGTCTTGCAAGAAGCTGTCCTGCGGATCGTCTGTGTGCAAACTGCTGAAGAGCAGGCAGATAAAAATGCCATTGATGGACTAAGCTCTGGAGGTGCTTTGGGGCTGAAAGGGGATGTTCATCGCTTGAGGAGGAGATTCCAGCCTCCTGATGCACCCAGGTGATCCGCATGTCCAATCTCAGGCAGGAATGCTCCCTTCCAACCTCTGAAGCCCTAAGAAGCCAAGTGGTTTTTTTTGGTGGGACCAGTCTACCAGGGCAACCTGGTCTACCCAATTATGGGACGGAACCTACTGCTTCCGCTTTCGCCTTTCAGCCCCAATCCAGGAGCCTTTGCAGGTAGTCACTTTCGCAAAAAACTATTTTTGTGTTGAATTTATGTTTTACCAACAAAGAAACAAAGGGAGATCTAGTAGAGATCTATTTCAAGCTATTTAGTTCTCATCAACCAGCCATACCCTTCTGCGATTCTGTGCTTAGAGGTTAATAGAGGTTAAACTGAAGACAAATTCCTTGTGTGTCCAATCACATTTGGCCAATAAAGAACTCCTATTCTATTCTATTCTATTCTATTCTATTCTATTCTATTCTATTCTATTCTATTCTATTCTATTCTATTCTATTCTATTCTATTCTATTCCATTCCATTCCATTCCATTCCATTCCATTCCATTCTCTTCCTGGCAATGCGTTAGTGTGGGCCTTTGCATGCATGTATTTATTAGATTTGTATGACCCCCAAATCTCTTGAGACTCCCAGGGTTCTAGGGTAAAAATCAGCCTCATACTTGACTGTAACACCATAATACCAAATAATAATAAAAAATTAGTAATTAAAGATAGCAGTGTAGATTTTAGGTTATAATTTTGTAGCTGGTGAACAATCCGTTCCCAGGTTTCAGTTTTAGCTCTGGGGCAAAAGGAGAAACATCACATCCTGAGGAGAAATGTGCTGAAGCAGGGGTCTTCAGTCTTGACAAGGTTAAGATTTGTGGACTTCAACTCCCAGAATTCCCCAGCCAGCACAGACCACAAGTTGTCAAGGTTGGAGACTCTCATGCTGAAGGTTATATAAAGAGAGGAATAGAATCAAAACCATGTGAAGTATTAGTACTACTTTATAAAGCCTTAGTAAGACCGCACCTGCATCCAGTTTTGGTCACCGCATTACAAAAAAGATGTTGAGTCTTTGGAAAATGTGCAAAGTAAAGCAGCTAAGATGATTAAAGGCCTGGAGACAAAAACATATGAAGAACGGTTGCAGGAATTGATTATGGCCAGTTTAGAGAAAAGAAGGACTAGGGGTGACATGGTAGCAGTCTTCCAGTATTTGAGGGGCTGCCACAAAGAAGAGGAGAGGGTCAACCTATTCTTCAAAGCACCAGAAGGCAGGGCAAGAAACAATGGATGGAAACTAATCAAGGAGAGAAGCAACCTGGAACTAAGGAGAAACTTCCTAATAGTGAGGACAATTAACCAATGGAATGACTTGCCTCCAGAAGCTGTGGGTGCTTCATCACTGGAGGTTTTTAAGAAGAGATTGGAAAGTCACTTGTCTGAAATGGTATAGGATCTCCTGCTTGAGCTGGGGGTTGGACTAGTAGACCTTCAAGGTCCCTTCCAGTTCTATTCTGACTGAAAGACTGCTGAGCCTCCTCAATGGCTGTTGTGTTCAGAGGATTGCTCCTGCTCCAAACCCAAACTGGCCCAGATTGCAATAATTGGGGAAAATAAATATAGCTGGCTAAATCAGCGTTCCTAATTAATTAGATGACAGATTTTAAATTAGACTTTGGTTTTTCTGTAATATGAAAATTACTTCCCAATTAGTGTGGAAGAGATATCTCTCCCCCTTCGCTGTTTTCTGAAAAACAAATCTTGCTTTTCTTGCAT